CTTACTTGACGGGTCTTCGGACGGTAGGACGTGGTCCAGGGCACTCCCCTAGGACCAGAAAGAAGACGATCCCGCCAAGAACACAGGGCAAAGGCCAAGGGCACTACTGAAGGTCATTTGGGCCAAGTGGCACTGGGTAGAAGAGGGACGAGTGACAGATGGCCCACTCACCTGTCCTCCCCGCTGCTCCCTGCCTGGTCCCTGTGCTGAGTAGGCTCCTTTATCACCGGAAGGGAACAAGCAGCAGGGACATCAGCCTAGCCCTGGACGGAAGTTCTCACTGCGGTGAGACCCCTGCCAGCTGAGAATGATGTCGCTGGGCTGGGGTGGCCCGGCCCCAGAGCGCACACCAGTGTTCCAGGAACCGCTTGGGACCAGGGCTCGGGACGCCGCTGACTGGTCACAGCTGGACAGTGTCCGGCCTTCCAGCAGTACAAACACGGGTGAGCAGCTCAGCCCACGGCCTGTCCCCTCAGAGAGACATCCCCTCAGGATGGTGTCCTTTGAGTGCCCACCACACCGGGGTCCAGGAGCAGGGAACAGGCCTCTGCTACTTCCTCCTTGGTCTACTCCCCCTTCCAGAAGCAAGGAACCAGAGAAGAGCCGGGAGGGGAGGTGAAGCCCCCACCAGGAGTGAAGATACAGAGCGACCCCAGAGCCTGGTGGCCCAGCTCCCACGGGGACGTGTCCTCAGGGTGCAGAGGAGCCAGGCGCCAGGCGCTGGAGGTCACCGCTGGGTGAGTCCACCTGCTCCGGGCTCCATTCATCTGACAGCTGATCCTCACAACCACTTTGTCATTCTAGGAATGTTGGGGATGGGGACACACCATTCCCATTGCCAATCCTGCCACCAAAGAGATGGATGGACACCAGCACCCAGACTCGTAGCCCACACATATTTACTGAGCCCCTTCTGTGTGCCAGGCTCAGCCTACGACAAACGGCAGGCAATTGCTACAGAAGCCCCAGGAAGCAGACAGGTGGCTGTCCCCATCTCCAGTCCACTCCTTCCTCCAGGGCTGCCTCTGCCTCTGGGCTTCAGCCCCTGACTGTGAACACACGGCCTCAGCACTCCAGAATGTTCTCCGCCATGACCAGGCAGCTTAGCCATGCTCCTGCCCACAGGGGCCAGGCATACAGCCCTGGGCCGTGTCCCTCACAGGCCAGCTCTGGCTGGCCCTAACCAGAGCCTGCTGCGCTTCCACACCACCTGCCGAGCTGTGGGACTGCCCGGGGTGGCCGGGACACGATAGACCCCAACCTTCAGGGCTGAATAGCAGTTCCCAGACACAGGGCCATCGCAGGTCTCAGGTGACAGGGGGTGGACAGCTCTCCGGGAGGTGAGTCCCACATCGGACAGGGACGGGACCCAGCCCCCTGCTCCGGCGGCTCCGATTCACTCTCCCTTCCACTCTTTTGTTCACGCTCGTCTCTATTGTTTCTCGGGCACCGCGGCACGTGTGCACGGCGGCACATGCGTGTAAGCTCTTATTGCAATCCTTGAATGAGGTCTTGGCTGAGAATCCACAATTCCCTGGTGGCCTCAATCTTGCAAAGATTGCTTTTAACACGGTTAGGCCTTAGTCCTAAAACCCTCCTCCTTATTACAGAACCAGACCACTTTGCCCTGAGCCACCAGCGTCTCCTGTCAGCGCTGGGCGAGAGAGGAGAGGGCAGGAGGGGAAGGGGCAGGGGCCGGAAGCCCAGGGAGGAACCTCCCTAACCCATGGCATCCTGAAGAGACCTCTTTGTGGGCCCCAGGCAACGTCAGGACATGACTCCTAAGAACGTTTCCTTTTCTGTATTCCAGATGTTTAAGTGAGGAAAGGAGGAAGAGAGAGCACAGACCTTGATGGCCACACCTGGCACGAGTTCAGCTCAGCCCTGGACAGACGGTCGTTTGCTCTGGCCCAGTGCCTGTGCCCCCAGCAGCCAGCCTGGACCAGAGGGCCAAGAGAGGAAATTGAGAGGATAGCACCAGCGGGTTCCAGATCAGAAACCCAAACTGCTCCTGGGGAGGTGCTGGGGGACCCACGGACCCCCTCCCCTCTCACCTCCTGAGTCAGTGGTGTTGAGGACAAAAGTGAGTCCCCTCAGGCACCTTTGCAGATTTGATTAAGCACCCACTGTGTGCCCGAGAGGTGACAGCGGCCCCCTACCCTCCTCTCCTCCCCAGCTTGTCCCTGGAAACGGGAGAGCGCTCAGAACTAGGAGCTGAGAGCCAGTGTTCCCTGGAACCCACAGGCCTTTCCAGACTGAGGACGGGAGCCCAGAAACAGGGCCTCCATCCCGGAAGGTTCCCAGTGGAGCCGTGCGGAGGACAGCCTGGGGGCAGCAGAGATGAACGGGTGGACCAACAGCCCCTGCCCTGCACGGGCACTCGGGCCACAGGGAGGAGCGTGGAGCCCAGCCTTCAGCAGGCACCTCTATTCACACCGATCAGCCAGCCCCTCTCCGAGCTCTGTCCCTCTCCCGCAGTCCACCGGACAAGCCCCACGTGTTGGGTCAGCCACAGATGCCCCCAAGGTGCCTGGTGGAGAGCCAGGGCCCAGAGGTTCTCGCTCTGTCCCTGGGCCCCCGGGGCCTGAGAGTCTTCCAGGAGGGCAGTGAGTCCAGCAGCAGCGTTCTGAACATCAATAAAATGTGGATCAATGTGTCAGGCACCTGAGACATCAGAGGTCATGTTTTAAGCTTTATGCCAAAGAGCATGGTGCCCAGCCTAAGGTCAGCCGTCGGGAGGTGAGTGGGCCCATGGAAGATCTGAGGACACACTCCGAGAGCCCACACCTCGGCACAGCCCAGCAGCCGACGGGCAGCCCTTAGCCAATGGGCAGCAGAGTCTTGGATTCTGCAAAACAAAACCATGAAGACCAACCTGCCGGCGGGGAAACAGGCAGCGCATTCACAGGCTAAATATAAATAGTATTGATCGGTCTGCCATCTTGAATTATCCATTTCACGTCTGTTTTCCATTAGCATCAATGATCACGAGTGACTCCCTGGGTCGTGGACCTGGAGAAGTCTTGGGCTAGCTCCCACGACAGGCCAGCATCTTCTGGACAACCCAGAACCTTCCTGGTACTTTCTCCTCCCCTTCAACTACTCCTTACTCAAGCCCAGGAGAGGCTGGCCCAAACATAGCCCTGAGGAACCCCTCCACCTTCTGGAGTGTTCTGCTCTATTTGACAGCCAACGCCGGCTCCAGAGAACAACTGCCTGCCTGCGCCCAGGGCTCACTTCCAGGGAAGAGGGGAAGGAAGCTCCCATGGCTGGATGCACGGCCCAGTAAAACCCGCAGGGCACCACTTCCCCAGTGCCAACCCCACAGGCAGGACCAAGGCCCACTTCCTCTCCGGGCCAGAAACCAGAGTGGCTTTCCTACAGAGCGGCCGGTCCTTGTCCTCTGGCAGCGCCCTCCCAGGCCCCAGGGCCTCTGATGAGCAGTCAGGGAGGGCCTGTGGCACCCGCCGGGAGCCAGGGCTGCTGCACCCCTCCCACACCAGCAGCCCCACAGAGCCTCTTGAGACAGAAATGCCCGGGGCGTGGAAGCCAGAGGCCCTGAGGACAGAGTGCGAGAGGCACAGAGGCCCTGTCCCACCCTCACCCAGTCAGCTCTCAGAGGGACCTTCTGTGCCGACAGAACCATGCTAGGTGCTCTGGGGGACAGGGATCCGCGGTGGTTCCTGCCTTTGAGGCACTAATGATCTGGTGTAGGAGACAGGTGTCCCAACACCTCCCAGATCTGTCATCTCCCACTCTTCCTTATCAGTGCTGATTACAGCCCCCAGAAAAGTGCTGTGACAGATGGGGCCTGTGGGGATGGCTCTGCATGTCCCTCCTAGGCTTGCACGTCCACGTGGCACCTGCCCCAGACGGCACGGACGGCACGTGGCCTCTCTGTGCCGGGGTCCAGAACCCTCCCTTTTGCCTTCTCCATCTACTTAGCCAGTTCCTTGGATGCTTCAGGAGAAACGCCTGGTCATTCCTGGCCTCAGCCTCCCTCCTGCCAGTCTCTCTTATGACCACGGGACTCCGCGAGAGGGCACCGCGGCTGCTGCACATACCCAGCCCCAAATGTTCTCCTGAGAAAGCCCCTGCCCTTACACCACAGGCTCTCACACATGCCAAAAGATTGATGCCAGAGCTTGCAGTCATTGCCCATCTTGCTGCTAAAATGCCCCTGCCACAGAAAGGCAAGACTGGCCCAGGGCGAGGGCCCAGTCCTGCCAGGAGCTCCAGCCTGGGAAGCCTTGGAATGCAAGAGTCTGGCCGGGCGAGAAGGAGCAGAGACCCCTGTGCAGGCTTGCAGAGGGCTTTCTGCTCTGGGCCTAAGGGAAGAAACAGAGATCCAGTCAGACCTGAGCTCCTGCCATGGCGGCCGCACTGCTCGGCCTCGTCATCAGCAAGGGGAGCTCTCCCCACCAGGTGAGAGGAAGGGAGGCCCCAGCGAGGTGGAAAGGGAGGGGACAAACAGAGACTGTTTGTCTGTAAGGCACTCATCTATCACCAAAGTCCCCCACCTGGAACGTGCCTCCTGATGCCAGCCCCTAGGCCCACTGCCACCTGCTAAGTGCCCCACAGAGGCAGGGAGGGGACCCCCACCATATGGTCCATAAGGAGCAGACACCCACAAGCCCTTGGAACTGCAAGGCCCTAATGCAAAGCAGCCGGCCACCCTGCCCATCAGTGGGCAACCCACAAGGCAGGCATGTGGGGCAAACACTGCCACGTCTGGCCTCTTTCTGGCTAATCACGATAGCTGTCCACTTACAGTGGGCACCCTGAGGGGACACAGCCCCAGCAGACAGAAGGAGGCCCAACACCTTCAGCGGGCCCTGCGCTATAGAGGAGGAAGGACCCAGTCATCAAGCATCCTGATCCAGCTTCTCGGCCCCTCCTTGACCCATCCTCTTACCACCATCCCTCCAGGCCCCCAAGTCCCCCCAGATGAAGTCACCATCAAATGGCATGGCCTGGGCACAATAAGCAGGAAGTGCTACCTGCTGCAGGTAGTCAACAGGTGTGAGGATGCTTCAGGTGGCCACCACCCAGGCAGGTGTGACCAGGTCCAAAAGAGTGCTGGGAGAAGGTGTCAGCGCCAACAGGAAGCCGCCCGCACGCACGCGCACACCTCCTCTCTGTTAGGGACCTTGACTTGGAATGATGTATTCTCTGTTCTCCTGGCTATAATTATTTTAGCGTGGGAGACCAGCTCTGTCTCCAGCGTCTCCGAAGGGCGGGTCCAGAACCCCGCATCCCCCAGCTCTGGAAAATCCCATCTCCAGATCCTTCCGTCCATGCAGAAGCACCAGGGCCCTTCAGATGGGCAGCCCCCCCTGCCCTGGGAGGCCGGGGTCAAAGGGTTTCATTCCTACTCCAAGCAGCTCTGCGAGCAGCAGAGACCAGGCACCACGCATGCCTCCGCGTAACCATGGCAACTTCAGGGAAGTTTCCAACAGTAAGTTTGTGAGTTGTGGAGCTGTTATGTGGTGTCTGGGTGGGTTGGCTCCTGCCTTCTTTTTAGGGTAACAGGATCCCAGCCCAACACTTGCATGAGCTCTGTGGGCAGTGTCCAGGGAGCTGCCTCCAGACTCCCAGCCACCTGGGCCAGCATCTCACTTCAGTCCCACAGGGTCACAAGTCCCTGGGTTGGGCTGTCCCCTCAGATGACCTGGAGTTAGCATACCCCCATGAAAGCTGGGGTATTCCTCCCCAGTCTCCCGCCCACCCACAGAAGTGTTCAGTACCTCCCCTCCCCAGGAGTCTGGCAGGTGCAGATATGGTGCCCAGAGGTGCCCATCTACTCTGCAGTGTGGATCCTTCAGAATCCCAAACATTGGTCCCAAGACACCCCGGGGTATGAGTTCACACACATCTGTGAAGCTGGGGAGCAGGTCAAGCTGCCCACGCACATGCTCACCCCCACACGGAGCATGCACACACATGCAGGCCTGCATCTGTGCGTGTAAAGGTGACCCTGTCTCTGCATAGAGCGATCCAGGCACAGACTGGGGACCGCCCGCAGCCTCAGTGGAGGAGGGTGGGAGCCACAGTCCTGGGGATGGCCCTTCTGTGCAGGGGACAGAGGAACACAGGAAGCATTCGAAGGTGAGGACATCCTCACACATGCTAATGGTGCACGCACACACACGTGCACACAAACACGAACACTGCCTTCAATGCTGTGCCAAGCCGTGGAGGGCGGCACCACCCCCGTGGCCCAGGACACCTTGCTGCCCAAGAAGCACCCAGCGGAGCAGAGGCAGCGCCAGCCCACCCAGGCCTCGGCCTGAACAGCTGTCACTGCAGCACAGCGCTCGGCAGCCAGCGAGGCCATGTCACAGCCGCGGTGGCAAAGGCTGGGCTGCACGGCTGTGCAGAGAGGAATCATTTTTTAAGGGGAGAAAAATCCTAAATGGCCCTTTCAGCCTTTCGGCGCAAGTAATTGTAGTATCCAGTTAATGAAAGGCCTGGCGTGCTGGCTGGCTGAATGGCAGCCAACGCCAGGGCCGCACCTCACGTGGCGCGGCTCCACCGCCCCGTGCAAGTCAGACCGCGCTGGGGAGGTGGGGGGCGGGGAGGGGGGGAGCGCGCGAAGCCGAGAGCTTCCAGGAACGGCAGGTCTCCCACGCGGGATCACATCGCCAATTAGCCAGTGGGAGGGCCGCCGCGCTGGCATCTCGCTTCCACAAAGACAAAGTTTCCTTGAGGAAATTGCCAGAGTCTTCAAGGCTCTGAAATAACACAGAACAAATGAAGAAGGACGGCCGCAGGGCCTGGCCAGGCTCGGAAGCCCCGCCCCCGCAGCCTCGCGAGGAGCGGTGGGCTCCAAGGCGCCACGGGGCCTGCGCGTGCACACACATGCTCACACATGCGTGCACACACACAGAGGCACTTGTGCATGCACACTTACCCAAGCACAGGCAGGAACCCACGCTGTGCATGTGAACATGTGCCTGCACACACACCACAGGACGCACAGGCACGGTCTGTGCACACACCTCCTGCGTGTGCGCACACGCATGCACACTCATGTATGCATGTATCTGTGCACACATCACCCTGCTTGCAGGTTGGGGGCCACTGTGCTGACCCTTAAACACGCAGGTCTGTAGCTCTCACAATGGCCACACTTAGAGGACAAAGCGCCCTGCAAATCTGTTCTCTGGAATTTTCCCCTCATTCCACAGCGAGAACTCCATCTGTGAGGAGCCTCCACCATCTTCTGACCTGGTAGAGCTCAGAGCCTCGCACAGTCCATTCTGGAAGCTTCTTACCAACACCCAAGGGGGTCCCTGCCTTCAAGGCACGGAAGCAGTCCAGCTCAGCCGTCTAAGTGGAGGTGACTGATTTATTCTGACCGTCCTGACTCTTAACGACACCACTCTCCTCCGAGTCTGCGCAGCTTTAATTGTCCATCAGGCGGGGCAGGGAGGAACCGTAAATCTTCCCTGCCCGCTGCCGGGAGCTCCGCACCCTCCGCACTGCTTGACCTCCAATTGCCAGCCCCTCACAGGCGCAAAGGCAGACTGGCATCCGCCTGGAGAGCTCTGCTGGCTTTGGTGAAGGAGGGAACGGGGAAGGGGCACCAAGAGGAGGAAGAGGCCAGTGGGCCAGGGAGGGGCCAGGGAGGGGCCAGGGAGGGCAGGAGCATTGGCCACCTTTGGGTGCTCTGACTACAAGGCGCTGCAGAGCAGCGGTGCCCCTGGAGTCTGAGCCACGGCGGCAGCTTCCGAGGGCTGTGGAGGCCATGCAGGCTCCTTCCCGGCCTGCCCCACACGCCACAGTGCAGGCCGCACTAGAGCAGGCCGGGCCCTGGGGCGTCTGGGCACTCCCTTGCCTGGCTACAAAACAGCACAGCCCTGAAAGGAACCACTAGTGAGGACCAGCAAAATCCTTCTCCCTCTGAACTCAGAGTGCGGGAACCAGGGCCTCTCCCAGGGCCTGCCTCCCCGTGGGAGTCCGGACCAGGCCCAAGGCCACAGGGCTAGGCAGCGGCCTGGAAAGCCAAGGTCCAGAAGCCCAGCCACAGGCTCCAGAGCGGGACTCCCGGCCTCCAGCCGCCGGCGGAACCTTTTCTGCAATTTTAGTGTATATTAATGCATCTCAAAGCGGCGGACATTATAGTTACGATTATTACCCAAAGACTTCCCACAGCCTTCATCTTCCAGTGCTCATTACTTTCTGAAAAATTATCCTTGGGGACTGAAATTTTCCAAGGCTGTCCTGTGGGGGTTTTTCTTAGGATTTGGGCAAAACGTATTTGGGAAGAGGGAGGAATTAGCCTCCTGAAGTCAGTCTCCTTGGTGACATCTGACAAGGAAAGAATGCCATCAGAGCGGGGAGGGGCCGCGTCGTCACTGTGCAGACCCCGGTTCCATTATTCAGTTCTGTCTACTGTGAGATGACAGTCCTATCTTAAAAGTGAGAGCTCAGTAGGGTGGAGGGGGCAGTCCCTGCAACGGTCATCTTGCAGCTGAAGCACGGGCCAGTCAGGGAAGCCAAGAAGGTGACCACAGCACCATCAGCGCACGCGAATGGCTGGACATGTATTTTCCAACGCAGAGGCAGACTTGCAGAAAGTCCCCTGAGCATGGCCAGGGTGTGCTGACACAACCCAAAGAACACAGGTGTCCTGTGCCAGCTTCTCAACTGTCCCCCCAACAGATCTGCTGGTGGGAAAGAAAAACGTGCCCCCTGGAAGACGGCCCCTTGTTGGCCTGTAGAACTGCCCCAGACCCCATCACCAGGGCGGGGTGGCCAGGGAAGGCAAGGGGCCCCCTTTCAGACAAAGAGGCTCCGTCCAGCGTCCCACCCTCAGCCCTCAGTTAAAGGCGTGCAGCTGTGGACGTGTCCAACAGACCTCTGTGCCCAAAGTGCAGCGCAGTGCTGTTGTGCGCGAGTGCTGATGGCATTATTAGTCCGCTGACAACATCACGCTCACCTGAAGTTTCCCCAGCACTTCTCTTTTCTGCAAAGGTTCCAAAATACTTGACTAGCATGCCCTCAGACGCACGCTGATCAGCAAGCCACAAGCACTCTGGTTCCCACTGTGAGTGGCTCCAGGAACCGCAGCCGAGGCCCACTGGGGCCTGTGAGGAGCCCATGGGGGAAAGCCCTGCGGGCCCGACCCTCCACCTGTCCCTGCTGTAGGCCCCGAGCCGTGCCTAATGGCATCACATCAGAGAGGCACAGTCAATATTCCAGAATGATGACGCAGGCTTTCTGTTGACTTCCAGTGGGTCTTACAAAGCTGCATTTCAGTTTTTCAAGTATTGAGTCCTGAGACCCCAAAACATCTCCATGCTGAAGGTGGGGCAGGAGGGAATCCCTGAGCCTGAGAGGGAGGCACCACGGTGGCCATCCACGGGCTGAGAGGCCTCCAGGAAGAAGTGGGGCACAAGGGACAGGATTCGCCTCCCATTCCCCAGTCTGCACTGGAAACTCTGCTGGTGCTGACCTGGTCCCTCTCTCAATCCAAGGCCACGTCTTTTGCTAAAGCACCGGCGGCAATGGCCCCATCTCAGGGCTCTCTTGACTCCTTCAGGAATGGACACATGAAGAGGCGCTGTGGGCCTGTCCAGGGGACTCAGAGGGGAGCCTGCCACCCATTGGATGCCCCGACCAGGGCACAGCCCCCTCCTGCTGTCCATGGCGTGTGTCTCAGATGTGAGCTGGAGAGGGTCCCCAGCATCCCCACCTCACCTGCAGAGAGATGCGGGGTGGCTTCCATCCCCTGCATGAAGCACCCGCAGCTTCCCTAGAAGCCAGTTTAAATGGTAGCCATGAGCAGTTCAGAGCCTGCGTCCTCAACCCTGACCTTCACCAGCCCTCTCAACCGGCCCGGCCCTCTCACAGGCGGCTGGCTCCAAAGCAGGGTCACCATCCCTATTCCCCTGGGTACCCACTGAGCTACTTCACATCTATGACCAGATTCTTGCTCAGCGCCCTCTGAGGGTTCAGACTCGCCCTGGGCAGCGAGGCCAGGACGTCCGCGTACCCTTCCCCAGCACGCTGCAGCCAACCTGCCACCTCCCGAAGCCAGCTCTGACCTCACCTCCCTACACAGACCGCAGGCGTGACTGAGGCCACTCACACACCGACGGGCTATGCAGCTCTCCCTGCCGGCCTGCGAGGCCTCACGGAAGGTAATTAATGTCCAACCTTGTTCAGAAGTTGTGTTCCATTTAAGTTACATCTAAATGCACGTGTCCTGGGGGTGAAGGATGGCTCTTAGAGACCCCAGTGGAGGGGCGTGGGGAGGGCCAAGATGCTCCATCTCAGGAGCTGCCACCAATAGTCAAAGATTGAGACCAGACCCCGGGGCAAGGGTGGACACACTGAGTGGCTCAGATCTGGTGGAGGACATCAGCTGTTCAGACCCAGCTGAAAGCATCATTGTGATTTTCCCCTTTCTCCCTGGATCTCAGGGTGATGGGCAACATGGGCACATGTGCTGACCCAGAGATTAGATCGCCCTCTGGATGCTGAGAGCATCGAAGGAGGGATCTGCGGGTGGGGTGGGCAGGAGCTTGGATTCCAAGATGTTCAGAAGCCGGCCTGCCCACCTGAGCTGGGCCTAAACCTGGCCTTGGATAAAAGTTCCAGAAAAACAGTAGTTGTTTTTTATTGACAGTAGAGAAACCTCCCATTTGCATTCAGCATGG